CGAAGCAACACAACAGCGCCAGGATTGACCGCACCAGAGCGGTGGGAAGATGGCCGCGCTCCTCCGTCCTCCCACCAGCGGCTGGGCCCCCCGCGGAGTCGCCGGAAGGGGGGTGGGAAGACGACGCGCCGGCGAATCTTCGTAGCCGCTGCCAGGGCGCCTCGGGGAAGGGCGAGCCAGGGGGGGGGGGCGAAGACGGCGGCGCTGGGGGAGGAGACGAGCAAGCACACGGCAACGCAAGGCACGAGGCCGCGCAGGCGGCAGGCCGAGGGGCCGACGGAGGGGGCTGCGAGGCCAAGAGGTACCAACACAAGGATTCTCCAGATTTCGCAATAAAGGGAGGGGGGTCTCATTTCGGGGGGGGGTCTCTTCCAGGCTATCTTGGAGGGCCTGGGGGGGTCTGGGGACGATGTTTTGGAGGGGGGTTCTCCCACGGGGGGGGGTCTGAAATGGCTTGTCTTGGAGGGTCCAGACCCCCTCCATTTTATTGCGAAATCTGGAGTGCCAGAGGCATGGGCAGCAGAGGCTGCACAGCGCAGGACATCGTGGGGGAAGCCCTGCCAGACAGGGCGGGGTGGCGGCAGGCGGGCGGCCCTGCGCTGCAAGCGGGGACGTCGCCAGGGAGGACCACGCCAGAGGGGTGGGGAGAGGGCCGCGCCTCCCGTCTTCACGCCAGCGGCCGGACCCCCAGCGGAGTAGCCGAGCAAGGGGGTGGGAAGACAGCGGCCCCGGCGCATTCTCCCACCCGCCTGCTGCGCTGGCGCGCGGACTCGCGGACTCGCGGGTGCTGCAGGAGTTCGAGAGACATGCAAACAAAGAGCGAGAAGTCTCGTGCAGACAATCGTTGCCGCTGCTTGCGGCCAACCTGTTACTGGTCGTGGCTCTGGTACGATTTCTCGCCGTTGTGTACTGGAAGCGGTGTTTCCGTCCGCCGTGTTGCCTCGGTTGTTTTGTTCCCCGCCGTTGTGCTAGCTCTGACTAACGGCGCTGCAGGACAGTGCCCCAGTGGCACTGATGCAGATCCGTCGTGTCGTGTGTGGTGTTGCTGGCCGGTGCCGCTGGGCGCCGTGATGGTGGTCACGGCTGCGTGTGCCTCCTGGCGTAGTGGTAGCGGTGCTGCTTGCCGCGCTGCCGCTGGTCGCGGTGGCCCCCCCCCCTGGTGGTGCTGGCGGCTGCGGTGCTACTGGACTCGGTGGTTCTAGCAACACGTATGAGTCGGCGCCAGTAGGAGCAGCGCACTGGAAGCTATCTTACGCAGGCTGGCTATAGTGCGACACTTCTGCCGGATCATGCGTGCTCGGCTCGCCGGATGGGCCTTCCTCTTACCCGTCCAGTGCCGAGGCGCCTTTTCGGTCCGCCCCGGCAAGAGGTCTCTGTGAGTCTTGGCGCCAACTTCGCAGAGCGAATTTCGGCTGGAAAATTATGGGGTGGGCCTGGATTGTCCAGGAGAAATTCGTTCCGGATTTCGTTGTGAATCTCGTGCGGGTATCTTTGGGCCAGGAAGGGAGACTACAAAACATCCGCGCACCATCCACACCGTTTCTCGCTCGCCGTTTTCGGCGTTCTGCACTGGCAGGGGCCCGCGCAGAAATCCGCGGCGGCACGCCGGCGAAGTCGCAGGCTCTCGCCCCGCGCGTAGCCCTGGCTTCATTTGACTGATGACGCCGCGCGGCTGTCCGCTAGCGGCCGGCAAACAAAACAAGGCTGCAACATCGCTGCAGTGATGCGCGGGTGATGGCGCGGGCGGCAGCGCAGCCGTCTGCAGCGAGCGAGCGCAGGGGCGGCCGGCGTGCGCCCGTGCCTCTGGAGACGGGCGCGCCAGCGTTGCGGCCAGGGGCCGCCACCGCTCTCCCCGCGGCCTGAGGAAGCTGGAGGGTTCCTCCGAAGGGCTCAGGCGACCCGCCCTCCTCCTCCTCCTCCTCCCTCCTTCTCCTCCTCCTCCTCCTCCTTTAACCGCACCCAGTTCAACGCGCACTTCTGCCTCGACGACCAGTGCGGGGCAGCCAATGCTCGCCGTGACATGGCGAAGGAGATATGTTACGGTGCATGGCATCGAACTGAACGATCTCGCAACCACCGCCTACAGATCTACACCACCGAGCACGTGCCGACAAACACTCATCGATAATTTGCTGATGAAGCTGCTGAACACCGCGCCCGACGTCGTTGGATCGAACGGGAACGTGCCACCAACCCGAACCTCCCGCAGGAAGACGACGGCGCTCAGTCCACCACTACGGCCACATCCACACCCTACATCTATTCCGCCAATGACCTCTTGATGGACTCCGACACATCCGACCGTGACGGACTTCTTGGCCGAGCTGCTCTCCCCGCGAGTGTTGAGCGCAGCTGGCGCGACCTGCGGCCCCACTTGGCGAACTCCACGGCCTCGCTCTTCTGGCCCGTGGTCAAGACCTTGTCTGGAGCGTGGGCGACATCGCACCGCATGCACGTCAATCCCCACAAGAAGAACTGCTTGTTCGGCTGCGACAAAGACTCGCAGGTCAAGAACACGGACGACATCAGCCACTACATCACACGCCCACGAATGTGGACACCACTGGCTCAACCTCGGGGGCAACCTGCTGGTGACGTACTCACTCGACTCGGACTCCACGAGAGCAACCACATCGACGACATCCCGAGGCACACCATCACACGCATGGCCGTGGCCTATCGCACGTACAACATCCTGCGGGTGCACACAGAGATGGGCACAACCGCCATCCACAACGAGCTCAAGTGCCACAAGGACGTGGTCGCTGCCGTTCGTCGCGTCCTGAGGCTGCCTCGGTGCCTCGCGGGCGGGGCGGGCCCGCTGCGCCTCTAACCGCGCGGACACGCGCCCCCTTCAGCGCGTCGTTCGCTCCTCCTCCTCCTCCTCCTCCTCCTCCGCCTGCCCCCCCTCCTCCATCTCCTCCCCCCCCTCCCCTCCTCCACCGCCTCCTCTTCCTCTCCTCCGGTCGCCTACGGCCCCGGGGGGGGGGGGTCCGTGCAGAGGAAGCATGTTGCAAAAAGAGTTTCCAGATGTCACATGTTGTAAACATGGCCTAAACATGTTTTGTTCTGAACATCCCGAGAACGTGCTTCAAACATTTGAAACATATTCCAAGTTCAATGATCGGGTCATTGGCTTGTCTACTGTCACGGCATCCACAGCCGCGGACCCACGTGTTCGGAGATCAGCTTGCTGACGTCCACGTGGCACGCCGCCGCAGCCTGTGGGAGGACATGTCCGACCTAACCGTTGTTGCTTAGTGCAGGCGCGCTGGTTGCGCGGGCGCTGCTGGCTGCGAGGTTCGCCCCGGCGGCGTTGGAGGGAAAGCTGCGCCTGCTTCTGAAAGACAACTGTCTGTGGCCTATGCCCAAAATCGCTGTCACTTTCAAGCTGCAAGTGTGCATGCACTCGCGTGAGTTGGTACATATATATATACACACACCCTTCGGAAGTTTCAAAAAGCGAGTATCATGGACCCCAGGTTTCGCCCAAGAGAATCAACATCCTGGACTGGGCCCGGAACTTGTTTTTGAACTTATGTTTGTCGTAGAGCGCTCTTATATTTGAACCTAGGCTGCGATTGAAAAGCTTGTGACGTCCATTTCTCAGCGTGAGATGTTGTTTTTTTTGGGGGCCTCCGCAGCGGCGGCCGCAGGTCGGGCGCTCGGCGCGCGCCGCGCGCCGCGCGCCCGGCCCGCGGGCCCCCGCGGCGCCCCGGCGCGCCCCCCGAGAGAGAGAGGCGGACGAGATGGAGCGCAGGGTGCCCCCGTCTAGGGTCGGGTCTTTCACCGCCCTTCGCAGGGCCCCCCGTGGAAAGAAACGCACTCGCAGCCCACGCCGAACCACCCTCCCACGAGCGCCCCCAGACGACGGCACCAGCCCTCAAGAGAGCGAGAGGCTGGCCCCCCCACCCCCAGGGAGACGCACGGGGGTTGGCCCCGCGCGTGCGGCCAGTAAGGGGAGAGGGGGGCATGACAAACAACAAGCAAGGCGAACAAGACAAAAAGGGTGCAAACATACTGCAAGCATCATGCGTACGAGCAAGATAAGGACCGCATCACGAGTGTGAAGCACAAACACGGCAAATGACCGCATCACGACTGTGAAGCACAATCAAACAAATATGTGAGCATAAACTGTGAAGAAGGCCAACAGGATAAGAAGGAACATAGACAAGGTGTAATGCGATTTTTCGCGTTTCCCCAACACGCCGAGGAGCAACTCAGTGGGAAGGTATTGCAAACAACCATTTGTGCGAGCTAGACAAAGACCGCATCGCGACTGCGAGGCGCAAGCAAGGCAAAGGACCGCATCACGACTGTGATGCACAATCAAACACATATGAAACATAAGCTGTGGGAAGTAGGAATTTACTGCGAAGAATCACATGGGCGGGCAAGACGCGGAAGAGCCGCGACGCAACTCTGAAACACCCACCTGTTTCCACCCCGGCGGGGGCCCCCAGAGCCAAAACAGGTGGGAGTTTTTCGGGGCCAAGCGGGGGCGGGGCAACGCGCCGACCTGGAGCCCCCAGGGACAGCAGGCCCCCAGGGACCAAGGGGAGGGGCAGGACCCCAACAGCCAAAAAACACCCACCTGTTTCCACCTCAGCAGAAGCACCCACAGCCGAAACAGGAGGCGTTCCATCCCTCTCCCCCCCGCAGGCGCCTACCATGGCTAGAACGCATTCTGGGTGCTCCGCGGCCGCCCCAACAGTTCCTTCGTCGTCGTCCCACGGGGGGCCCGCCGCCACGATCAGCAATCGACAGGGGGAGGAGGAGGAGGAGGAGGAGGAGGAGGAGGAGGAGGAGGAGGAAGGGAAGGGAAGGGGGCGACGAGGGGCAGAGGGGAAGGCGACCAAAGTTTTTCCAGCAACGGACGCAGGGCAAGCAGTCAGTCTCCCGGAGCAGGCCACGACGGCGCCGGCCAATGCCGGCGACCCCCCCGGCCATGCTCCACACAGGCGGGCGCGCCACAGGAGCGCAGGCGGCCCCCAACATCAGGGCCATGCCTTAAAGTGATTGGCGCCAGTGACGGCCAGTAGCACTGCGGCGGCGACGAAGTGCACGTGCTCCCGGCGTTCCGCCGGTGGCCGGGATTGGTGAAAAAGGAACTGAGAGACCAGGGCGGGCGAGGAAGGGGGGGCAGAGAAAAGCGATACCAAATAGCGGACCTAAGAGCTGCCGCCGCGAGACAAGCGAAAAGAGCGTGCCAGACGTCAACATCCAGCGCCCCGCAACCCGCACACCGCGGCAGCGTGGGGGCGCAGAGTGGGGCCCCGAGGACCTGGAGCGGCCAGCGCCCCGACATCCGCACGACTGCCCACAAGCGAAATTGAAGCCAAGAGCCTGGGCCAAGCTCCAAGTCCAACAAATTCCACTGGAGGCCAGGCGGCCCAGACAGCCACGCCGAGAACGGCAGGCGGAACACTAGCAGTGATGCAGCTGCTGCCTGCTGGAACGCAAGCTGGTCAAGCTTGAGCAGGGCGGGCCGGACCACGTAAAATTTGCAGCTGCGCAACAGCAGCCGGCGAGCCGCTGGATCTGTTCGAGCAGTTGCACAAGCTTGCTGCCCAGCAAGGGACCACTCAACTACGTCAGGGAGGGGGGGGGGTCCACGGAATTCATCCACGCCCGCACGGCTGACGCCCATGAGGAACAGCAAGGTGCTCTCTGCCACCTGAAGCACGTTAGCTCCAGGATGCTCACCAGGTGAAAGGAAGAGCCTCGCACGCGCGAGGATAGATAGTTCGCTCGACCATTTTGGTGCCAAGGCGCATGTGCCAACCGCACTTCGCGATGACTACCGGGCCAGGGAGCGGCGGGCCAGTAGCGCAACCGAGCAAACGGCGGGCCCACCCCGCTTGCATGTAGTCAAGGGAAAAGCGAGCACGGGAAGCGAGAAAAAGGAAGGGGGAAGGATCGAGCAAAGCAGACTCTACACGCAGCGGCACCTGTGCACACAGGACTGGGAGCCCAAAGCCTCCTGTCTCACCTGCGGAAAACAAGGGCTCGAACAACTCGCTCCCTCTGGCCAATGTCGCCTTCAGCAATGGGCCAAACGTTAGGCGTGGATCAGAAAGAACCCCCAGCAGGACCTTTAAGTCTACAGCTGGACAGCCGACGTCTCCTGGAGGAGGGCTGTCGAGGATCGCCATGGCAGCTGTTTTCCCCGTTTTGCAATTAAACTGTGAACGGGTACGCCTCGCGTACCGGGGGCAGGCCGACCAAGGCTCACGCGAGACGATTGCGCGGAGAGCACCTGGCGAGGAGGCTGCGACCGTCAAGTCATCCACAAACTGCAGCGGGGGGAGGGGGCCCGAGCCCAGCCGGTCAAGCAGGTAGGCCATGTCGGCCTCTGTGGCAACACGCGTGGCCCCGCAACGAAGCGCACGCTTAGCCCTCGGGTAGGGCGCCTGCTCCGCGGCGGCCGCGGACGCCACCTCAACAGCGAGAGCTTCGAGGTCGCCCCCAACAGCCGGCGGGGCGGGCGCGCCATCGCAGGAGGGCTCGGAGACACTGATGCCCAAACAATGGTGACGGAGGTGGGGTTCCACCCAAGCAGCACAGCTTCCTGGTAGTACACGATGTACTTCTTCAGCCAGCCACTTGAGCTGCGCGTTGAAAACGCCAACACTGAATCTACGCCCCTGGGCTGTTCCACCACCGAGGGAAAATATGGACGACGCATGGCCACGGAGCGCGATGTATTGCGCGTCAGACGACATGAAGTCATCAAGCAGGAGCCAGTCGTCACCACGCACCCCCGCCTCGTAGGCATTGAACAGCATGGCGAGATGAGACGCCACATCAAAAGCCCACTGGAGGTCCGTAACTGCCCAATAAGTGGCAAGACCTTGGGCGCTACGGAGTTGAGCGTGGAGGAGAAGGGAGAGAAGGAGGGAGATAGGGTCCCCAACGCCGCCCTGCTGCGCAAGCCCGCAGCACTTCTCAAGCGAAGGAGCGTTGCGCAGGTTCCACAGCCCATCCACAACGGATGTCATGACCGCCGAGATAGAAATCGGCCGGAGACATAAAGTTGACCGAACAACGCGGGGCCCCGACTTATGGACAGGCGTGACCTGGCGAATCGACCACAGGGCGCTCGTGAGCGCGCAGTGCCTGGAAAGATTTGCGAGGGCACGCGTGACCCGGCGGCCCTCAGGGACCGGTGAACGGACAGCTGCGAAGCAGCCGCGGACCGCGGCAGATGTCGTTTTTAGACTGTCTAACACCGCGTCCACCTCTTCGACAGAGTACGGACCAATGTGCGCGTGCACCGGCCCCCCGCCCATCGACCTTATGGCCGAGACCGCGCGGGCCTGGGCTTGCTGCGCCGCCGCATCGAATTCGAAGTCGTTCTGCACTCGGCCTGTCAAGTCAGACTGCAAGAGCGCGAGCGATTCCTCAACATCAAGGGAGCGCCCGTCGACCGGGTCGACGAGAGCAATCTGAAAGGCATTGCGGGACCGGAAGCACTCAGAAAGGAAGCGCTCCGCCAGTCCTGGATTCTGGGCGCGAAGGTCAGAGAAGCGCTGGAAGGCGCGATGGCGGTCCGCCCACGCGGCTTGCGCCACCGCCCGCTTAAAAGCAGCGTGCGAAACGTAAGCTGATGGGTCAACCAGGGGGGGCTACTGACGCGCACTGGGGGCGCCGCGGACGCCTTCGCGGCCCCCGCTGCGAAGCCCGCAAGCACGTAGATTTCATCCCGGGCCCATGCCGACGCGCCCAACAGAATGCGGCGGTCTTTCTTAGATGCCCCACCTCCGCTCCACGGGGGACGGAGCCAAGCGCCCGATAAGGGAGACTCGGCCGCACCTGCTAAGGCTTCTAAGACTGGGGCCACTGCTGACAGCGCATCATCCCACTGATCATCAGTGCGCCATCCCACGCGGGAGAGGCCAGATGTCGGTGGAGTGCGAAAAGCGCATGGCACTGAGCATGAGACCAGACGGTGGTCCGAGTCCACCCCGACAGCATGAGCAACAACAGTTGGAAGGACCTGGTGCCGCTCTGCAAGGATTAAATCAATGCATGCGCCAGAATCGTGCGTGGGCACAGGCGGGTTACACGCCGCAAACCCAGCAGCGTCGACCATTGCTTCAATCGTGCGGTCGGGCGCTGACTGCCGGCAGTGCGAGCGCGAGCAGCCAGGTAGGTGATGCAGGACGTGCGGCAAGTGGACGTTGCCGTCGCCGCAAATCAAAATCCGCACTGCCGGGTGGCGTGCACGCACAGACGACAAGGAGGAGAAAATGTTGGTCCACGTAGGCACGTCACCACCAGGGGCAGGATAGCACGCGCAAAAGACAAAGCACGGGCTGGCAGGGGTGGAGGAGCCAGATGCTTCACCCCAGAACTCCAACCACTGCACGCGATCCGATGAAAGCTCAGGGATCGGGCGGAGGAGTGAGGCGATTTCGCTCCGCACAAACAAGCCCACTGCACCCCGAGAGGCAGACCGCGGCCCCATCCAAGAGAATGGTAATCCCGACGGCAGTAGCGCCCATGGCGGCATGCGCGCACCAGGGAGCACGCAAAGATCGCCGGAGCACTCCGCGAGCGACTGGGCGACCGCGCGCAGGCGCCACTCTAACAGAACATCAGTCCCGAGGGCGAGGAAACCAAGGCGCCCGGGATTGAGAACAGCCAGGCGAATGGAAAGCTCCGGTTCCGCACGGGCAGGCGGGCTCAGCGCGGGCACAGCCTCAGCGCGAACGCCTCCAGCATAAGGTGAAACCAAACGCTGTCGTGAAGGAGCCGAGGCCAAACGCCCAAGCGCAGGCGCAAGCTCCCTACGTAGAAGCGTCGATAGCGCGGCCACAAGGGCAGCGAGCGGGGCAGCAGCACCGTCACATGAGTGCAGCAAGTGGGGCGGGAGCAACGAGCAGGCATGCAAAAGCGCATCGCAATCTCTGGTGAGAGCCGCGAGTTCAAGGCCGCGGGTTTCTGAGCCCAGCCACGAGAGGACGAATTCGCGCATGGAGGTTGCTGGACATACGGGCCCGCGGTCACCCATTGCCGGCAGCGGCCGCCCACCCGCTCCCTCGGCATCGAGCATCCAATGACAGCGGCAACACGGCAACGACAGAGAAGCGGCCCCATCCAGAGAAGAGGAACGGGGCACAGGGAAGACGCGACAAGAACACGCAACACGACGGAGAAGCACAACAAACAAAGAGACGGGGGGGCGTGCAGACGAGAGGACGAGACGCGCAGACAAGAGAACGACAGTGAGCCACAGCGCGACAATGAAACACCCACCTGTTTCCACCCCGGCGGGGGCCCCCAGAGCCAAAACAGGAAGGAGTTTTTCGGGCCAAGAAAGGGCCGGCAGGGCGCCGACCCGGACAGGGACAGCAGGCCCCCAGGGCCCACGGGGAGGGGCAGGAGCCCAACAGCCAAAAACACCCACCAGACACCACACCGGCGAGGGCCCCCAGAGCCAAAACAGGTGGGAGTTTTTGGGGCCAAGCGGGGGGGGGCGATGCTACGCCCTCCCACGCGGCAATCACAGCCCAACGTGGCGTTCCATCCCTCTCCCCCCCGCTGGCACCTACCTCGGCGGGAACGCATTCAGGTGCTCCGCGGCCGCCCCAACACTTCCCTCGTCGTCATCTCACGGGGGGCCCGCCGCCACGATCAGCATTCGACAGGAGGAGGCGGAGGAGGAGGACGAGCAGATCAAAGGACAAGACGCGCAGACAAGAGAGAGGCAATGAGCCGCAGCACGACTGGGAAGCACAATGACGAATGCACCGCATTACGACTGTGAAGCACAATATGAGAGTCAAGTTCGTCCAACCTTTGTAGAGGGCCCAGACCTAACGCTACTGCCGGGAAGCACGAACTGTCCCATGTGCGGAACGAGACTGCAGCCAAGGACAGAGAGTATGAAAGGCAGAGGCAGGCAACTGTTTAACCGCTACGCTGCAAACTATAAGGTTCATAAGGCGTCTGCCGACGAGCGCGCTCAGAGGACACGTAGCGGGGGGGCCCGTTGAAAATGCTCAAAGTGCCAGCGTGTGCCTGAGGCTGCGTCAAGCACTGGCGGCCCAGCTACTAGGGGGGCGCCCAAGCAGGGCCGTGAGCAGGCGGGGGCTCCTCCGAGAGTGATGACACAATGTAGTGAATATCCCGCTCAGCCTGCTCCAGAATCTCACGTGCCGACCTCTTGGGGGCTGGCGCGCGCACAGCATCCCCGGTCGCAGGCGGCGCAGGCGACTGTAGATCCGTCACGGGGCCGAGAAAAAGGATTAACTCCTCTATCCAAGTGTCAAGAACGGCGCGGCTGCCGCGCACTACGACGCTGCCGAACCTCTTATTCACCAGCTGGATTTGAAAGGATTGCTTCGGCTGCAACTCCACGGTGACATCGAGAGACGGCTGCTTATAGTCACCCTTGGCAACGGCGAAGGGCAGGGCGGCATGGCGCGCATTGGCCCCGCGCGCGGGGCCCTCTACAATCGCAATGCCCACGGCCTGGGCCGCGTTGCGCAAATCAAGCTGGGAGGTCAGGTTCGAGGCAAAGTGCGCCGTGAGCTTCAGCCTCTGGTCCCTAGACTGGCCAACGGTCTGCCGGAGCCTCATCAGCCAACTGGCCACTGCGTCTTGGTGCGCAGCGCGCGTGGTGAAACGTGCCAGGCTGGCAGGATCCTGTGGGCCAGGCGGCGCGCCGAGGATGGGCGCTGGGGCCGGCGCGCCAGCCACTTGGCTGCGAGCCTGGGCCAGGATGGCAGCTTGCGCCACCGCCTTGGGTGCACTCGGCGGGCCCGGCGCCGCTTCCTGAGGAGGCGCAGCAGCGCCGATCGTGGCAGACTGCGTGGGCAAGGCGGCAGCGAGCGCGCCAGGCGCGGTCGGGAGACTGCGAGCCGGCGTCGCACCTGGAGTATGCTCGCCCTCGGACGCCGCAAGCGCGTCAATCCGAGCCCTCAACTCGCTCACGCGAGCATGGTGCTGCGCTACCTGTTGCTGGACTTGTTCGCGGGTAGGCGGCGGGCCCGTACTAACCAAGACGGGCTGCGATGACGCCTTCAGAACTGGCGACGGTGCTGCGGGCGATGCCGACATCGCCGTGGCCACCGCTGCTGGCTGCGCAGCTGGGGTTGGCCCCGCCGCTGGGACTGGCGCTGGTGGTGGCGGCGGCGGCGGCGGGGGCGGTGGCGGCTGGCTCGCGGCAGGGTGCTCCCATTGGCTGTGGCTCATAGCCCTGTTGATGAAGTACAACGCACCAGCAAGATCCCTTCTCTACTCCCAGCCTGGGGGCAGGCTCGGCGGGCTCAGGACCGGCGGGCCCGGCGAGCTGGGCGCCGGGGACAAGCGCGCTCTCCCGGGCGGGGAGGATGCGGGGCGCGGCACTGGGGACGTTGGCGGTGAGGAGGCAAGCGACTTGGGGGCAGGAGCCGTCCCCAGAGCCTTGGTGGCGACGCCAGGGTACACAGGCCCATCCCAAACGCCCGGGGGAGCCTGCAACGGGCTGAGCTTCAGCTGGGTTGCGTGGTCCACGGCCCTCGGCGATAACATTGGCGGCGTGGGGCTGACACTGCTGCGTGAGGAACTGCGGCGCCGTCGCCGCGAGGGGCTGCGGGGACGGCGCCTAGAAGGGGAGCGGCTGCGGCTGTCATCACGCCGGCGGCGGGGGCGCCCCATCCGGCAACGACAGGTGGCCGAGGTGAGATGCCCACCCAGAGAAAAAGCCAGCGCTCAAGCAAATCCCTGGGCCAAACAGCGCCTGGGATAGAGAGACAGTGTGCAACGTTCCTTCCTGCGCACGCCCGCTGCGCGATAGCACGGCTAGAGGCATGACGCTCCTCCCCGAGCGCGCCGAGCAAGGGCGGCCGGACAGCAGGCCAGCAGAGGCAGGCAGCTCATGTACGCCACTCAAGCGAGCGCATCGCTACTGCGAAGCGCAATCACATAGCATGTTCCCAACACTCGGACCGCAATCGTGAGAAGAAGACCTGACATAATAGCAGATACGGCATTCAAGGGAGATGAAAGTATCACGACTGAGAAGCAAAGCGCGACAGTTGACAAACTGGACACATGTCGTCGGTGCCGGCGCGAGAGGCACAGCGACTCCGCGCTACCCGAACCCCCCGGGCCTCGGGGGGGACACCAACGACGAAAACACCCACCTGTTTCCACCCCGGCGGGGGCCCCCACAGCCAAAACAGGTGGGAGTTTTCGGAGCCAGGCCAGGGCGAGGGGGCACGCCGACCAGGAGCCCCCAGCAGGGACAGCCACGATCAGAGTTCGACAGGAAGAGGAGGGAGGGAGGAGGAGGAGGAGGAGGAGGAGGAGGACGACGACGACAACAACGACGACGAGGAGGCGGCGAGGGCACCAAAGCAGAAACTACCCAGAGGTCTTTTTTTTCAGTAACTATTGAAACTATTGAAACCATTCGGAAACATTGAAACTATTGAAACTAATTGAGAAAAAACAGGTTGAAACTGAAACTGTTGAAACTAATTGAAACTTTTTATGTTTGGCGTATACAGC